CTACCCCGCTCCGTGGAGGGACACGCGTGGATCCTCGTGGCACAAGACGTCTTCACGAAATGGGTCATCGCCAAACCACTCCGACAAGCCACCGCAGTCGCAATCGCAAAAAGCGTCAAGGAGCACATCCTACTGCAACACGGCTGCCCGAGACGGATCATAACGGACAACGGCCGCCAATTCGAGAGCCGGGAATTTCGAGGGCTACTCGAGCGGGCCGGCATCCAACACCGACGAACACCTCCGTACTCGCCGCAGTGTAATCCAGTGGAACGAGCCAACCGAACGTTAAAAACTATGGTCGCCCAGTACATCGAACGAGATCACCGCCGGTGGGACCAAAAACTACCAGAACTAGTATTCGCAATAAACACAGCGGTACAGGAGAGTACCGGATTCACACCGGCCAGGCTGACTTACGGCCGCGAACTTACCGCCCCGGGAACACTGCGCGCGCAGCACGAGGTCCCGCTACCGGAAGATATCGAAGAGCCCGAAACCACGACGCGCGAACTACAAATAGGCCGAATGCACGAGGAAGCCGCTACCGCGGCCGCGCGACAACAGGACACCACATCACGCCAGGAACAATATTACAACCTCCGACGCCGAGACTGGCGCCCCGCACCTGGAGATCAAGTAATGAGACGGGAACACCCGCTATCAAAGGCTGGCGAACACTTCGCGGGAAAACTCGCCCCAAAATACTCCGGCCCGTATACCGTCGACCGAGCAATATCACCGGTCTTCTACCGACTACGGGACCAAAACAACCGCCTGATCGGAACCGCGCATGTCAAGGATTTGAAGGGTGTAGCGAACCCCTAAAAACACAACACCGAACGGGTATAAATACGGGGAAACCGAGACGAGATGAGCAATAGTAGCGAAATGGGCAAGCTGCGAAAACAGATTGCGAGAGCCGCTCCGAGGGCCAGAGTACCCATCCGCACACAGCCACCGGGGATGACGCCACAGGCTCCTCGGTACACACCACCCGTTGAGGCCCGACCGCGGACCAACCGAGCCACCGTCAGCATCGAGAACCGGGGCTCCGGCCACCATCCGAGCCCGAACGGTGACGTCACGGCAAGAACTGTTGTACAACGACGCCGCCCAGACAACCGCCGCCCTCGCCTCCAAATTAGAGGAATTATTCGGATCCCTATCCGATCTGGAGGACGAACCAGCACCACCAATACCCGCCTGCACGGGACCAGAGGCCATCGCGGGGGCAGAAACACCGGTGCCGCCACTAGGTACGCCGGCCGCTCCAGGCCTACCGACACCCCCACTAACACCCGCCACTACACCGGTACCAAGGGCCGAGCCAGCCACGTCAGGACCGCCACCCGGATACGGGTATTTTACTGGTAGCCAACCCGAGAGCAGCAGTGGCCACCTGGACAACATCCCGTGGGAACGCATCCGCCCCGGACAACGGTACCGACACCGCACGGCCGGGCGGACCGTAATTGTAAAACGTCTCCGCAACGGAGAATTCCGCGTACGAGACCAAATGTAGCGAACATCAATAAAAACTGTAAAACATACATAGTGGAATGTCCGGATCTGCCAGGGGGGAGGTGTAACGTGCCGTAAACAACAAGTAACTTGCCCCACCGCACACATTTTTCCCGGCACCACTCCGTCCCGCACCTACAAACGAATTGTATAAAAGACGGCGAAAAATCCACTGAGACACCAGATCCCGACCAGCGAGCTGAGCAGGTCTACCGACGGTGACGACGCGCTGAGTCCGAACCGCTTCCGAACCTCGCGAGTTGAGCGAGAACCCGAACCGCCTTCGATACCGACGCGTGCTGAGCGGGAGATCCTCTCCGACCTGTGTCACGAGTTGAGTGACGATCTTCTCCGTGGGCTAGAGCGAGTTGAGCGAAGCCTGTAATCCTCGCCACGTGTTGAGTGGCTCGTATACAAAACATCCAACCTAACCACGAACACGAGCTGTCACCGGCGAGAAGACAGCACACCGCGCCGGCACCGAACATACCGCGCCTGCGCCGCCCGCACCAAATCGTCGTACCGCGCCGAGTCCGAACAAACCGAACCGCGTACGAACGCACCGGCCCGAACCGGTACTACCGCGCCGCCGCCGACCACATCAACCAATAGATCGCCGTCGCGCATACGTTGTCAATTCCGAAGCGCCCGTGCGCCAGATCATGCTAGCGAACAGCCGTCAGAACGGCAATAATTATAAGGATAGTTATAAGTAGTTATAAGTAGTTACATGTAGTTTAAGTTGTAAATATATTTTAGCACTTAAGTTAAAACCTGACTCTGTCTCTTTCCGAAACACCCACCGCCGGACCCTAGAATTCCCACGGCTATCCGTAGCATCGAACATTACAGATTCGAACGGTCACAAAGCAATTATTGATTATTTCGGAGCTACGTGAACGCGGCCGTGGCAACGCTGAGGCGCGCGGCGACTCACTCACGCACACTAGTAGACGCGTGGCTCACAAACGTGCGTCCGTTTAAAAAACGATGCGGATTCGCTAATTTTTAAATAATAGTAACTACTTTGTGAGGCGTGACTCGAAAAAATTGTTCGGGACTCTTCGACTCAGTTTTTCATGAGAAATATCACTATATAAATGGTGGGCGCGAATTAGAATACACCCTGTATGTCAGTCACCGTTCATAAAATTTTAATACATGGTGCAGACATAATTAAAAGTCTTTCTATTCCGATTGGCAAACTTTCTGAAGAAGCACAAGGCTAAAAATAAAGATTTTAAGAGAACCAGAGAATTTAATATAAGGAAATGCTCAAGAATTGCTACGAACACTGATGTGCTACACAGTCTCCTTATATATCTTCAGATCCTTATATTACTAGCCTCAGAAAAATAGAGCAGAGAAAGAAAAAAAGTTTATTTCCAGAATCTTTAGATTTATTAATTATCAAAGATGCAAACATGAATGGAGATGAAGAAGACGACGAAGATCACGAATAATATTATTAGTTTTGATCTGAAGTTATGTAAATACGTTAATTTCATGAGTTAAAAATGAGTTCAAAAATGTAAAAAAATATTTAAAAAACAAAAAAGTTAAAACAAACAACAAAAGTAAAAAAAAGTTAAAAAGTAAAAAGGTAAAAAAAATTTTTTAAGTAAAAAAGGAATTGCATCCCCACCACGTCCGCGTTCGTGATTCTGGATTCGACAGGGAGTGGGGAAACTCTAATATAAAAGATAGAGTCTAAACTATGGCTGTTTTCCTTTTAGGAGGCACATGCGACACTTTTGACACAAATCAACACACATCGCTTTCCATTTAGAATTTTATTCATACTCAATCAACACTCTTCGACTCTGCTTGGGAGGAGAGTTAGAGTGTGTTTCTTGACTAGTGATGTCAGGTTAGCATGCGCACACAAGCGTAAAGAGGTATATGTGCTGTGCAATACACTCAGAGCGAAATATCTCATTTCAATAAAGAAAAATTATATTATTTTAAATGTTGCGTGCGTGCAGTAAAAATTAGAATGGTAAGTACTTATGTACTTTATAATCGTAATTAAATAATTATTTATATTTTACATTAATATAACATTTAAAACTTTCATTAATACAACACATTTACCTAGTTTGCGTATAAATACTGAATTATTATAAATTTTCCTTGGAATTATTTTTTATATTTGGAAAAGCAATTAATATGACAATAAAACTTTGTTTTTATGATACTTTTAACTAAAAATATTTATCTACAGTATATATTTATCTACAGTATATTATAATACATACATTTATAAAATTTTAAAACACGTTTGAGAAGTTTTTACGATAAATCTGATGTACGTTTGATGTAATAAATCTAACAATAAGGTTAAGTATTCGTGTACATTCGGTACATATTGTACATTATACTTATTGCGTCCCATTTATCCATGACAAACTGTGTTCGAGTGTGTTAACTTGTATCGATGTGTGTCTCCTAAAAGGAAAACAGCCTTTATACACAAACTGTATTGACAATATATCTGGACTTCTTTTTTAACATAAAGATTTAAACATTTTCTAAAAATTTAAGAAATTTGACTGCATCATAGTAATCAGTAACTCTAAAACCTTTTCCGAATAATCCGTTCGAACATATAGGAGATTTATTGTTTTTGGTTTTTTACTATTCCGCCATAACGATTCCGCCATTTTGGATATTCAAATATGATTTTGAATTTGCAATCCCAAAATACTCTAGGATAGTTTATTTTATAGTATTTATCAAATACTTCCGAATACAAGACGAGTCGACTGCGGTGGGAACCCGTTTCCAAAAAAAAACAAAAAACATAAATTTTGAGAAGAATTGGCTTAAGTTGGATGAAATATGTATATTACATAATTTATTTTTATTTATTTATTATTTATTTTTAATTATTTTATTATATTTTTTATATAAAATGAAAATGGCGCGCGCGAAGCGCGCGCTTTGTATTGTTCTAGTTTATTTAAAAAGGACATTATGTAAAAAATGCAAAATACATGTAACCAACCTTACCAAAGAATTATTGCCTCATAAATGAAATTGATATTGTATCAAGTGTGAAGAAATACATTTTAGGTTTATATAAAGAAAACATGGAGGAAGCTTTATGAGAGAAATCTAATTTTTTTCGATGTTTCTTGAAAGTGTGCAAATTAGAAATTTGCACATTGCTTCTTCAGCATTGAAGCGTGCAAATTGGAAATTTGCACATTTCTTCCTCATCATTAAAGTAGGCAAATTAGAAATTTGCACATTGCTTCTGTAACGTCCGATATTATAAGGGGACGCGTGTCTCGCCGGGAGATGAGGGGCAGGGTAGTTAATGAGTCGAGCAATCTCGGAGAAACGTAATCAATTTAATTGCTAGAACTATTTACAAGAAAGAGGGAGAACGAAAGCAAAGAAAAAAGAAGGAAGAAAGCGAAAGAAAAGAAACACAAGGTTTAGAGAGGGCGCACGAAGGGAGCCGGGAAAGTTTAGCCCAGTGAGGGCATATCCTTAGTCTCCTGTGGGAGCTTCCTGGGCCGTCTGGATAGTCGGATCCTCTGCGGGAGCGCCTCTATGCGGACGATGCAGGGTTTCGTCCTCTTCAGTGCGAGAGTGGCCTTAGGGGCGTTTGGTCCAGGCGTGGTCGTTCCTTCGTGCCTGGGAGGTTGGGCTGGAGGCGCTGTTGCAAGTGCCGCCGTCGGGGGCCTGGGTGCTGGGGTTACTGGCGGGCGCGGGGCCCATGTCCTAACTGGGCAGGGGTCAGGGGAGGTTGGGTAGGCAAGGCGGGGTGGTTGCCTGGCCGAGGGCAGTCTCCTGACTCCAGCATGGGGTGGGGATAAGGTTAGCCTTATCAGGGACTGTGGATAAGGGGGAGGAGGCAGGAGCGAAGGCTCAGCAAGTTCTAACGGCCTATCGAAGACCCCAGGACTAGCGTATGCTCTCGCTAGACGTCTGAGCTGGACCTTGCGTCCAGCTCGTCGCGATCTGCCCATTTCTGGGAGTGCCTGCGGGAAGCATCTCGTATCAGCAGTGTTAATAAGCGGGGGGAGAGATGCATGCTGTTAGTCATGATGGTAGCTAATGCTAATTTATTATTAATTTACGTAAATCCCTTAAATAGGCACTCAGAGAAAAGTAATTGTTTCTAAATCACGGGGGTGAAGTGAAATTGAGACTTCAGGCGTTGTCGTTTTTTTGTATAGAATGCTCAGATGGATTCTTCGATTATAATAATCGATTCATTGCCGTCATCACTGCATTCTTGGCAACTTCTGAGTCATATTATTGTAGTAGGGAGACCCGAGAGTGAGTAATGCAACTGCGGTTAACCTTGATCTGAAATTGGAACGCGTAAGTGGCAAATCAAAAGTAATTACGTTAACTACTTCATTGCACCGAACGAAATAACTAAAGTTCATCACAATTAGCACGTAAGATCGGTAAAGTTCGCTGTGTGCCCATCTTAGGTGAAATTCGGTCTGTTCGAGGGGGCTCCGTGAAATTGCCCCTGGAACGACTGGGAACTGAGGTTGGTTACGACGGAGAAGGTCCCCCTTTCTTTTGCGGGGTTCAGACCAGGTGACTGGTGTCGACGACGTGGAGGAGGTCGGTGAGGACTGGCGGCTCAATGCCAGTTCGAGGTAAGGTGGTGATTTCCCGCCGGAGGAACGCCGATGGCGGCGCGCAACCGGAGGTGGAGAACCGGAGGAACGCCGATGGCGGCGCGCACCCGGAGGCGGATAACCGGAGGAACGCCGATGGCGGCGCGCAACCGGAGGCAGAGGACCGGAGGAACGCCGATGGCGGCGCGCAACCGGAGGCGGAGAACCGGAGGAACGCCGATGGCGGCGCGCAACCGGAGGCAGAGAACCGGAGGAACGCCGATGGCGGCGCGCAACCGGAGGCGGAGGATCGGAGGAACGCCGCTGAAGGCGCGCAACCGGAGACGGAAGATCGGAGGAACGCCAATATAAAGGCGCGCAACCGGAGGAGGGGTTAAGAGATGAAAAGAGAGAAATAGAGAGAGACCGGGATATAGGTAGAGGTAAAGAGAGATAGAATGAGAGAGATAGATGAGCGTCGTCGTCGAGGAGGTGGTGTCCTGGTGGTCGTTGCCGTGGGCCACAGAGTTTACACACGCGGTAGAATCTCGCACTAACGGGATGTCGGCTTAGCCTAGGGTGACCGATGGTTAAACACCTTAACTTACGTCTAGGATCGCGATGTGGCGTATAATAATACACTCCAGGAGTCAGAGGTTGGCTCTCTGTCGGGCAGAGGTTCGTTCCTTGCAAAGCTCGGAGAACTGAATGCGAATTTCGGGCTCCGAGGCCCGGCTTTTATACTGTCAGCTTCTAGGGCAAGTGCGGAAGTGGTGATGAGCGGGGGCCCTTCGATCATTTTCCGAATTTATTAATTTGTACCTTAATTAGTACTCTGACTAACTTGAGTCTTGGTTAGCTTCAAAGGGGGCCGTCGCTCGTCATTTTCCCGCTTACTCCTTGTTACTTGCATTTTGCGTTCCCGAATTATTAACGCGCATACCAATCTCGCGTTTTTATGCGTAGAGTTCCGCTATGCCGTTCCGAAGCACGTGAGCATGGAAGGTTCTAGAATATCGTCGCTACGATATTAAAAGTACTAATTTCCCGTGGTTTGAACGCGCGGTTTGCCGCGGCGGCTTGAAGTGGAGGCGCGTAGCGCCCCCGTACGTGGCGGAGATCAACGGTTCCTGTGGAGGTAGCTCCGTTCTTGAGAACCGTTGATGTCAGCTCTCTAACGGCTTATTTCTTAATAATTAACGCAAATTCTTCGGATTTCTTTTATTAGGGCGAAAGCGGAGGCGCCAAAGGTCGGCCTGTTACAGTGGTTGCCACGGCTGTCGCGTAATTAATCCAGAAATGATAGTAGAGAAAATAAGAATAGAGGACGTATAAGATCACGTGCCGCGCGCGTGCTACGTGCCGCGTCGCGCCGGAGCTCTCTATCGGGTGGGCGATCATTACTGCTTCGTGAATAGTGACGTTTGACGAAAAATAATTCGTCGGACGTAACACTTCCATTGTTATGGCTTCCTCATAGAGGAAGCTTTAAGAGAGAAATCTAACTTTACCACGATGTTTCTTGAAAGTATTCAAATTAGAAATTTGCATATTCTCATTTCGCT